GCCCAGCCCAACGGCGCCTAGCAACAACGGCGCCCAGCGACAACGGCGCCCAGCGACAACGGCGCCCAGCAACAACGGCGCCCAACGGCGCCCAACGGCGCCCAACGGCGTGAGGGAAGCCCGGAGGTTTCCTCGACTGGAAACCGCCCCGGGGACAAAGAAGAAGAGCTGAGTACTAAACCCATTCAAGGGGAGTTTCCGTATTCAAACTGTTGGGCAAAGCAAGCTTAAGAAACCCTAACGCATCAACTACTCCCTCCGGATCAGGAAGTTTACCTCGAAAGTGAAGTGAATGGCAGCCTGTGTTGCCTGGTGGCACTGCCTAATCGGAAAGGCATGCGAAGAGAACCACCTCAAGGAATGGGACCAAGGTGGTGCAGTCCGTTGTTTTGCTTTCTTTTCTCGAAGGGAATACGGAAGGATCTTTTCATTGGGCATATTTTCCCGTACCTGCCCTCTTGCTATTCTACTTGAGCAAATGAACTAATTTTAAAAGAACCAGTAGAAAAGGAGAGGTAGAAGAAGCAGCGTACCACATCTGTTCTAGCTTTAGAAAGGTAAATCGATGGTTCCGGGCTGGTTTATGTTCTAGGCCTGCATAGGTGCATTGTCAGGTTGTCAACTGGTAGTCGAGGATGATAAGACTCAGGTCCATTGCTCGATGTAGTTTTGAGACTGACTGAGAAGGTAGAAAATGACTCGGTGACTCAGCAATGTATCGCCAACTCCAAACAGTAGACAATAATAATGAATCAGGCAAACATTTCAGACATTTGTCTTCTGTTTTTCAGCCAGTTCCAGTAAAAACATGCATTTGTGCATTAATCCACTCAGAAATCTGAACTATGTGGGCAGAGGAGCTTTACTGGATACTTTTTTGGAATGGTATTAACAGCATGGAGCAGGAAAGTAAAGTGAAGCACTGCATGCAGAAAGAAGCTGCAAATACAGTCTTGGCAAGCGTGTTCTATTCGACACTTAAATACACTTAAGTGTTTTGGGTCAGTCCCAAGTGAAAGCAAACAAGGAAACGTTACTGGATTTACTCTGTTGGTATAATGTTTTGCAAATACAAATTCCCCAATTACGTGACTTCCTTACCAACTTCAGACGGAAACAGTTTATGTGAAACAACACAACTGGGTGAGGCAGAAGGGATCACTGTATCGCGGAGTCCCAAATTGGTATTATTTTCACAGGACAGTGCGTGATTCTAGCCTTAAATATCAAGCCATTTGCTTAAAGTTAGAAACCACTGAAAAAAATGGCTGGGTTGATGTAACTCCTTGCTGCTGCTAAAAATGTAATCCCTGTACGTCTTTCTCTCTGGTGTCCTGTCCTCTACTTCCAGCTGTAACGTCTCCTTATTTGCCCTGACTCTGGCATTCACCTGACTCCTTAGTAAGCTGAAACAGCTTTCAGAGACTTGAAACTGAAATATTGGTCGGTATGAGTGAAGTACGAATGGAAAGGGTGTGCATAAGCACCAGAAGAAACAGCAGAACAAAGGTTAAAAGAATGGCCTGTGTTGATAACCAAAGACACAGTTTAAGGCAGTAAAACTGACAAGTACATTGTTTCTCTCAAACCAGGAAGACCTGCACTCTGTAGCGTAGACAACTTATCTGCAGAAGACCCTACCGTCTGACAGCTGGACACCACAGGAATATAGAGCACATCACAAATGCCATTTCTTTTCCTGTTGGTCCAGCTGGAAGCAAACCATAGCCTCAGGAACTCAAAATGAAGAAATGCAGAAAATGGGCAAACATGCCTGAAGCGTGCGGAGGCAGAAGGAGCCAGACTGTGAAGCGCGGGGATGCCACCATAGTAACTGCTGGGTCCCACTAGCTTTCATACCCACTATTGGGCATAAAAGACCCGTCCAAGGTGTTTGCTGCTGCCAGTGAAGAATAACACAAGAGGTGCCAATAAAGGTGTGATAGTTGGTGCTCATCTTCCCCTATGTTGCACGCAACATAGATCCTGGCCAGACCCGTTGGGCACACACACCTCGGTGCTTGTAAGTGTGGGGTTTGACAGTGTGGATGAAGTTGAATAAATTGAATGAATGTGAATGAAAGTGGGGGAACTGAGTGAAGTGAATGCATACCTAAACTCAACTTCTGCAGCTTAACTGGGTGCAGCTGGATTTTGAAAAAAATTTGCCTTGCCTGATGTATCTGCTGTCCAAACGCACAGTATGGCGTTACGCTAGGTCCTGTGGGATGGCTCTGCTCTCTGTGAAGAAGAGGCAATTCCCACCCTAAATAGTGCAGCGCAGCCTGGCTTGCCTGGTAGCTCTGACCACGTCAGCAGTTCTGTCCCTCTGAGGATGGCTAAAGTATGCGGAAACACCCTGGGGATGACGCTGCCAAACCGACTTGCCCTCTTTTCCAGCATGTGGCTCTCATCATCAGTCCCATTCTACTTCTTAAGACCCCTCCTTCAGGTCTCAGCTTTGGGTCACCTTATAGTTATTCTCTCCCACGCAACCAACTATTGTTCTTGTGGTTTCCCCGGGCTGTTTCAAATAGCATTTTGCAGAACATGCTGGGACCTTTGCTTTCTTGTCCCTCCCCTATTTCTTACACAACCCTCCCCCAGTTTTGTACTGTCTGTTTAACCAGCTAACGGCTGGGTATACATTTGCCTGAGGATTTCAAAACAATTTTGAAGTTTTTTTGTTCTGTGGGAACTGTTAGGTTATGTGATAAAAGCTCATCTGGTGGGAGGTGGGAGCACCCCCCCCGTAAAGCCCCCCCCCCCCCCCCCTCCCCAATCAGTTCAGACTGGCCTCTTCCCCAGCATGGGGACTGGGCTGGGGCTGACACTGGCTCTGCTGTAAATCGTAACTGTGACCCTGCACGGGTCACTTGCTAGAGTGGGTCAGGGTGTGGGGCTGGCTGGGCAGGGACACCCCTCCCAGCCATCTGTCCAGGGGGGACAGAAAGGAACAGGATGGAAAAGGGGTGGGATAGAATCATAGAATCATTTGGTCGGAAAAGACCTTTAAGATCGAGTCCAACCGTACCTGTCCACTACTAAACCATGTCCCTAAGCACCTCATCCACCCATCTTTTAACTACCTGTAGGGGTAGAGGACTCGACCATATCCCTGGGCAGCCTGTTCCAGTGCCGGATAGCCCTTTCAGTGAAGAAATTTTTCCTAATATCTAATTTAATCTTCCCCTGGGGCAGCTTGAGACCATTTCCAATCTCCTTTCAGGTAGCTGTAGAGAGAAGGATTCATTCAGGATGCAGGGGAAAAGCATCCTGAGTTTGAGATCGCACAAGAGATTATTGTGGGATGTTCAGGGGAGGAATGAGTGTGGGAAAATAAAGGGGCAGCCAGCAACTGGAGTGAGCGTGAATGTGTGAGTGGGTGTGTGATGGACCAGCCAGTGCACAGGTGAAGTGGCCCCAGGAGCTGGGGGCGAGTGGATCTCTAGGGACCAGCTCTGGGTGTGAGGGAACCTGCTTGTCTCTAGGGGTGAGAGCACAGGGGGGTCAGCTATGGGACCTGGAAAGTCCTGGCCAGCTGTGTGTGTGTGTGTGTGTATGTGTGATAGTCTGTACCGGGAACTGGAGTAGGGATGCGCCTTGGGGGCTTATATGTCCAAGTGCCAGTAACTGGGGAGACTGGGATCCAGGGGCAGCAACTGGGCAGAATGAGTGTTTGAGCCCCGTTGCTGGAGGGATCCACTTTGTATATGCGTATATATATACACACACATATATTCCCACTAGTGGATTTCCATCCTGCTCAGCCAGAGAGGGGAGTAGGATGAGGCCATTGGTGCTGTCTATGTTCATATGAGTGCTCTGAGTGTCTGTGACTTGTGTGGCCAGCCATGTATATGTGTATGTATGTGGTGCATGCATGTGGTCCCCTGTGTGTGTGTGCCTGCTGGGAATACATTTTCAGCCTCACGACTGGTTGGACCCGGGGACAGGGAGCTGCAGCAGCCTTGCCTCTCTCAGGTTATTGCCTCCGGCATGAAATGTTTTCCTCTACCAGAAACAATTCTACTGGTTTTAACTTGACTGTAGAGGGTTTTGTTTCTGTGTGTTTTAAATCTGTGCTGAGGAAATAACTTTCCTCAAAACCAGAATGGCACTCTGATGTTTTACTTCATAATGTGAATGTATTCCAAGCAGATTTTTTTTTTCCTGAGAAGTTACTTCTCTACAGAAGAAACAGAAGCTCTGTGCATAAGGTTTGCTGTGACCCTGTGTTAAAGCTGCACTGGCGCAGGGGTTTTAAACAGAAATATGTAGATTGGTATGAGTGCAGCATGAATGGAAATATGTGCGTGAAAGCACCAGAAGAAACAGCAGAATGGCCTGTATCCAGATGTCCAATGAGGACCTATGTTCCCAGGACACAGCTCCCGTAACTGTCCTGGGACAGACAATCCTGCCCAGTTTAGAGTATGG